ATGGTCTTGTGTAATACTCTATACAGGGGAAGCCACAATGTCTGTCTGTCTGGTCTTGTGTAATACTCTATACAGGGGAAGCCAATGTCTGTCTGTCTGGTCTTGTGTAATACTCAATACAGGGGAAGCCACCATGTCTGTCTGTCTGGTCTTGTGTAATACTCAATACAGGGGAAGCCACATACTTCCTATGTTCAACTACTCTGACAACATCAACTAGTGGGAAACTCTCAGCTAGCCATCAGGAGAGGACTAGTGAGTAGAAGGCCAGGCTAGCCAGCACCCAACACATGCCCAGCTTCACCCAGTATCCGACTCTTACGATCCTGGGGACCTCGTGAGAGAACCCACCAGCGGAGCCCACAAAACTGCTGAACTATGAGAGGTAAAAACCAACTGTCCTTTTAAACCGCCTGGCTGGGTGGTTTACTAGAAATCCCGCCTATCATGGCTGCATCTTGAATCCCATGAGGACCCTGAGGAGACCTCAGGCTCTCTGGGAGGGTTAAGTAGGGCACTGTAGGCGCACTGCCTGGCATGCAGCCGGGTCTGCAAAGCGTTAGCTGCCCTGCTCTGAAATCTGGAATACAACTAGGCCTTCAACAGTTCCTTTGTGCATGAAGGCTTGGTGAGGGTGAGGGTGCCCGAGAAAACAACCGGGTTCACCAGCAGAGGGCGAGCTTGGGAGGCAGATGGTGGTTCGGTTAGCTCAGAAAGAGTCTGCCAGGGTTGCATTTCTAGACCGCCCTTGGGAACAGGAAAGACAGCCCAGGGATTCATTTAGTCATAAACAGAGGTTATTTCTATCTAATCTGGAGCTAGCCCTGAAAGACTAGGAGCGGGCCGAGAGGTTGCTCCAATGCCCAAAGCAGCTCGGGTGGGAGTGCCAGCATGCGGTTCGGCACTTGCTAGGAATGGAGTCTCGGGCATAGCACCTGACATTGAGCCAGTGTCTGAATGCTACCAGCATCCATGGTAACATGGATGGCAACGTGGTAACCAGCCTCACAGTGGATCGTCCACTGCCTCTCGGCCAAGTGGTTTCCCTGGGCGCAAACCTCAGGGTGACCTCACTCACTCTCCTGGATCCAGCACTGTTCCCAGGAACACAGCTGGCACACTGCAACCGTATCTGGAAGTGGCCTGAACCGCTTACATATATTATTTCTTAAAATTTTATTAATTCTTTGGGCGTTTTGTACACTGTGTTTTGATTATATGGTATCATTTTAATTACTACCAACACATTTAAAGTGCTTTCTTTTTTGTCTGTGTGTATTGTATGTGTGCCACATCTCGTGTGGGTGCTACGAGAGGCAGGAAGAGGGGGTCAGCTGCCCGGGAGCTACAGTTACGTGTGCCTGTGAGCTGTCTGACGTGAGTGCTGGCAACTGGAAGAAGAGCAGACCCTCTCAGCCTTTGCACCATCTCTCCAGCCTCCTAAACTTTTTTTTTTTTTTAAATATTTGAGGAAATTGCTTTCTCATGGGCCTCATGTCAAGAGCCTTCCCGTGTGGGCATCATTTTTGTTGTATTTAAATTTGAGGCTTTGGAGGCTTCATGTGGGGTCTGCTGGAGTCATCGTACTCCCAGCAGCATGAAGAAGGAAATTCACATGTCACTTGAAGGTGACTGTTTCAGTGGCGAATGGAGCTCCAGCCACCAGTGAGACACTTCCAGCTCTTGAGGGACTGGTGGGTGAGCTTCTTCTAGGCCATGTCTGTCCGTCCGTCCGTCTGTCCAAATCCTGACTCAACAGGGCCCACAGTGGGAGGGAATTCCCATAGTGAGCCTGGAGCCCACACTGCCTGGGTTCTAGGGAGGAAGAAACAATGGGGCCGGGACATTGAAGGGTTGTGCGGAGAGTGAGAAAAGCTGGTGCCGTGTCCTACACAGCAGCCAACCCCCACGTGGAGGGACGCTGTGCTGTAAGGGGCACATCCAGGGCATCGCACCTTTTGAACTGTGACATAATGCTACCATCTGTAAACGCGTTGGGCTTCATCCACAGCAGTCCTGGGATGCATGTGGCTGGTGGGCTGCTGGTTAGCTGTGCATGTCTCTCTTCCGATCCCCACTGGTGCCTGGCATGGCATATAGCTCCATGGGCATCCACATTGGGGTTTGCCACCAGATCTAGCTTTTAAAACTCCAAAGATGCCCATATTAAAGCCTGTCTTACCTTGGACAACTTGGGGGTCTCGGAAGAGTATCCTATTACTTCTGAATGCACTTTTGAAAGACTTCTACACCCTGAACACCTAGGCAGGGGCATGGCCTGTGCTGATACTCTTTCTACCTCAGCCAAGGTAGCTGTGACATCGTCAGTGCTCATCACTCAGAAGCCAGCTTCAGCCATTCTGCCCATACAGTTACTTGTTTTTGCTTGAATTTATTTATGGACGCCACCACAAGGCTTGGCCACATGAATCTATCACCCTGTCCACCTTTGTCATATGGACCATGACGCTTTTCTCTGACTCTACTTTTTTAAATATTTATTTCATTTTCATTTTATGGAGTATGTGTATGTGTTCGCCTATTTGCTTCCATGATGAACACCATGTGTATGCCTGGTGCCTGTGGAGGACAGAGGGGGAGTTGGGTACCCTCTATCCGAGTTACTGGCAATTGTGAGGCCCCATATGGGTGCTAGGAACCAAACTCGGGTCCTCTACAAAAGCAGCAAGTGTCCTTAACTACTGAGCCATCCCTCCAGTCCTTTGACTCTATATTTAAGTCAAGAGGGAGACAGGCAGTTGGACAAAGCAGACTCAAGGTTTAGTCACTTTCATCCACGTGGCAGTGGTAGAAAGGGATAGAGTTGGGTGCCCCCAAATCTTTGTCCTGTCATTAGTTGTCACAGGCTGTGTGGCCATGGGCAAGCTGCCAAACCTCTGTGCTTAATCCATTGCCTTAGTGTGAGGCCTCTCTCTTTTCCCTGTCTACCTAAAATGGTCACTTTACTTTCAGAAACATGGACTGAAGGAATTCAGAAGGAAATGCTGCAGAACGAAACAGTAGCCAATACCCATGGCTTCCTTGAAGGTTCTGGAGTCAGGCTTGGTGTGGCAAATGTGCTCTACTGTTTCCATTTGCCTGACTCCAGGAGTTGCAGGCAAGGTGTACAGTATGCACCGTGGCGCCTGGCCCAAGCAGGTCAGTTACTGGAGTAGCGAAGGCCAGTGGCCCTGAGCCACTTACATCTCTAGGGGGACACAAGGTTGGGGATGAGAAAGGGTTGGGGAGGGAGTGGCATGCATTCCGGATTCTGTCCTTGCAGCATCTCCTTCCCTGTCTTCTGGGTATACTCATCCCTGTTCCCCAGGGGAGGATCTACCCCTGGGTATACTCATCCCTGTTCCCCCAGGGGTGATCTTCCCCTGGGTATACCCATCCCTGTTCCCCAGGGGTGATCTTCCCTGTCTTCTGGGTATACTCATCCCTGTTCCCCAGGGGTGGACGCCTTTCTGTCTCAGGCTGGGTGGCTTGGATAGAGTGTCCCTGCCCCCTGCTGGTTCCTCTCTGCTGGGTCTATCAGCAGATACTTTTCTATCTCCTGTCACAGTGATTCAGGAAGAAGGAAAACAGCCTGGGGGCTTTTGAGGGCCATCCTGCCACTCCCCACAACAGAAACAGTTTTCTGTGAGGCCACAGAAGTGGGGGACTATAAGCCTGAGATAGGAGAGAATGGGCAACCCAAAGGAGGAAGGAAAATCCAGACACGGTCAGAATGAGTCGACGGGGTAGTTCTGCACCTAAAACCCAGCCAAGCCTGACCACGACTCACTCACTAGACCATTCTTGCCCTATTTTTAGATTTCATCTTTTAAAAACTGTTTCTGCTCTCTGTAATGGAAAGATGTGGTCAGCGTCCCTGGGCTTTGAATTTCTTCCCTAAGCTGAGTGATGATCTTTCTGTCTTCTAACATCAGCTCACCTTTCTTCCGAATTCTTCCCCTTGCTTCACTTCCCGGGGGTAGCCGTCAATCAGGAAGCCCCTGGTGTTGCCAAGGCTGGCCACCATGGCTTCCTTCAGCAGCTCCAGGATGACACCCTAGGGCAGAAAGAGTGATCAGCACGGGCCGGCCGCAAACCCAATTCCCAATGGATGTGACTCCTCAGGCATTCCTCTGTGACAGGAGGATTGGACAAGATGAACATCAGATCTCTTTGGAAGACACCCTCCTCTCACCCCACCTTAATGTCCGTAGTGTGGGTGGGTCTTTCAGTTAGGTCTGGGCCATGGTTCCATTGGTGAGGGTGTTTCTTACTGGTCTGTGCTTACTGCTGTTATTGAACTAAGTTTGAAGACTTCCAAACACGGCATTTTACACCCCATAAGTCGTGCTAACCCCACCTCCCACAGTAGCAACTGAGTGAACAGGCAAAACGAAAATTGCTCAGAACACACTTCACGGCTGATGCCCCCCCCCCCAAGAAGCAGTATACAAAACCTGAAGTGTGCTAACTGCAGAAGACTTTCAGATTGGACAACTGTTTTCTAGCAACATGATTTCCCCATTAAGAAGGTTGATCTACCAAGTGTTTGTGGAAAGGAAGGCAGGAAAGAACACGGAAGCTGGAGGAGGCGTGGGAGGCAGGGAAGTCCACATTTTCTAGTTTTTGGCAGGAGCCTGGGAGCATGCAGATGCCACAGGTATGGCTAGAACCCTTCCCTAAATAATTGTGAATTAATTCCTCATCAAGGTCACAGTCCAATGAGGAAGACAGACAATGAGAAACAAAAGATTACACAACAGCTAAGGACAACAGGCACACAATTAGAGCAGTGCCGGAATACACCAGGGGTGCCGTTTGCCACAGGTGGCCTCTTTGGGAAGTTGTGCCACTTAGGCAGAGGTCTGCAGGAAGCAAATGAGCCTACTAGAGAATTCACGATGGAGCCCACTGGGGCGAAAGTGCCAGCACAGAGGCAGCCATAGCCTGCCCTGATGAGAAGGAGGCCACACGGGAGGCCGCACCGTGAGGGCCGTGAG